CCTTGAGCCGGTGAGATTTGAACAGCCGAACTGCAGAACTGCAGTCAGCTGAAGTAGCCTGCAGTGCTGCATTTAACCACTGCGCCACCTCGGCTCCTTGGCAACAAAAATCAGAACACCAAATACAAGCTGGTCGGATTCAACCTTGTAGATGACCTTCACTCTGTCAAGGACCTAGGAATACTCATCTCAAATGATCTAAACCCCAGAGCTCACTGTAGCAGCATTGTCAAAAAGGCATTAAGAGTTGTTAACCTAATTTTTTGAAGCTTCTTCTCCGGTAACAATGTACTGCTAACTAGGGCATACAAAACCTTTGCCAGACCAATTTTCAAACACAGCACATCTTCCTGAAATCCCCACTGTTTATCGAACAGTAATACAATTGAATGGGTCCAGAAGTATTTCACGAGAAGAGTACTCCCCTCCTCTGCTCTCAAAAGAATCCCTTATGCCACCAGACTTGAAATATTGGGCTTGGACAACCTGGAACGATGCCACCTATGGTCTGACCTAAGCATAGTACACAAAATTGTCTTCTACAATGTCCTAATACAAACTCAAGGTAAATCGCTCCAAACTCGATTGCAGAAAATACAACTTCAGCAACAGGTTGGTCAACGCCTGGAATGCTCTACCTGACTTCATTGTTACATCCTCAAACCCCCATAGCTTTAACCTTAAAGTGTCTATTGTGGACCTCACCCCATTCCTAAGTGGTCCGTAAAGGGGGCATGTATAAGTGCACCAGCATGCCTACTGTCCCTCTCCTACTGATCCCATTTATTTGTACTCATTTCCTTTGTTCATGTCCATGCTTATACTTATATCTGTTATCTTGTACATGTTTGACAAAATAAATAAATTAATAAAATAAAAATAAATAGTTCACTCTGTTTGTTCCCCAGACTTTGTGCATCTGTATATAGTGCAAAGAATGAGTGATAGGATTGCAAAGAATGAGTGATAGGAGACACTGACAACTGTTTCAAATTCATGTTTTGGGATTGCTTCTGATAGCAGAATAAAGCTACCCATCCTTTGCCAAAATAGATCTCATTTTGCCATGTATATCACTAAATTCAAGCATACTTACTTTCCAAGCGCAAAGCATTCAAGTGTCATATTTTGTCCTAAAAGTGCAAATGTATCTTTGAACTTCACTCTGATATCTGGTACGTAGCCTTTTGATCCTAATAAGAAAAAAAACAATAAAATAGTTTGTTATAAAATGAATGCTTAGTACATATAATATTTGAAAAGTTTATTTCCTTAAAAAAACTTAAGAGAGTGTATGAACAAAGATGCATTTCTAAAATGAAACAGTTGTAGGAAGCAGGAAGAAAGGATCACATACATTTATCTATTATCAGTTAAAAATGGATTTGACTTGTCATAAAATATCACTACCAAACCTGGGCCATAAAAATCTGGACAACACTGGAGGCTAAGAGATTATAGAAATTCTAACTGCTTTTTTGATAACTTGAATAAATTCACATAATGTATAAATTGAAATATTTAACCAGAACAGAATACGAAAATCTTTAAAATAGATCAAATCCCAATATTTCACTTAACATCTACGTATTCTATTTCTTACCAGTTAACCAAAAATTGTTTTGAGAAAGTTAACTATTATATTGCTTCCTGTATTCTGTAACATGTCAAAAATGTAAACATACTCATATTTGATTTTCCAAACATGGGAAAAGCAATGTCTGTTTCATATCCTTTTATATATTTCTATTTTTATAACCTTATATTTTTATATTTTATAGTTTTATATCATACATTTCTGAGACACACATTATTCAGTCAAGCAAGTGAGTTAAATTTGAAAGTAAGCCATAGTCAAACTTGGCTCCATGATTATTTACAACTGTTGTGTTCTCTCTCTATGTCTCTCTCTGTGTTTCACATGCACACATACACAAAGAAAAAGAGACTGAATGAGTGAGTATGTTTTGGATAACAAAAACAAAACAGTTGGATTCATGAGATAAGGTGTAAAATCTAAAATTCAGAAATAAAAAACAAGCTGAAAAGAGAATCTAAGCCAAACATCATTTCTTTCATATACTGTTTCACTGAACTGGATAAAATATACAAAAGGAAAGGAGACATTATTTAAGAAGAACATCTGACATACATAAGACTTTTGAGGAATACTTACGATCTGCTTGAGGGATGAGTGAAATAAAACTGCTGAATACACTCTTAGTAATTGAATTACTGGTCACACAGCATGAATAGTTGCCTTTATCAGTAGGTTCAACTTTGGCAATGTAAAGATTACCATTTGTTTGTGACACATATCGCCGTTTATCCAAGGTAATGAATTCTGGGAAATCATTCAGAAACCAGCGATAACTTAGATCATCTGGAGATAAAAAAATGTATTTAAAATTTATTAATAGAGATTAAGCTATTGTTTAAAGGATATGGTAACACTTAGCTAATTTTGTTGGAAGCTAAGCAAGATAAGCACTGGTTAGTCTTGGATCAGGGATTACCAGTAATGTCAGTGCTCTTGGCTATACAAATAGTCCTCAATTTACAACTGTAATGGAGCCTGCTTATTAGGATCATGACTCGTGATGGTCATAAAGCAGACCACTGACATAACCAACCCAATTTTATTATCTTTATTGCATTATACAAATACTGTGTTGTTAAGTGAAGCCATTGTTTGCAATGGACCATTCCCCCCCCCCCAAAAAAACCCCAGAAGTAAATGCCAGTTATCCGCATCAATGTTGTAAAAAGTAGTCACATGACCATAGGACATTGCAAAAATGCAGGCTGGTTACTGAGTGCCCAAAATGAGATCACATGACTGCAAAGGGGGAAGGTGTTAGAACTTTGGAAGAACTTTTCTTCATTTACTTATCACTCCACGCTGTATATGACTGTAAGTGGGCACTGAAGTTCACCTTTCTTAAATGGTCAAGTTTAACAAACACTGATACGTGACTTCTATTTTTGCACACTGTAGGCTTAGGCTAGGGAACAATACGGGTAGTCCTCAAGTTATGAATGTAATGGAGCCTGCCCATTCCATTCGTAACCCAAGGATTCGTGGGAGTGAATTTTGTACCTTGAACGTGATCACTCCTTCCTTTCATTCACTCAAAAAGCCTTTGCCTGAAGGAACAAAGCTTCGGAGGGACTCACCTGCTCCTCCCAGGCTCTGGTGATGCCAACAAAAGCTTTTTGCAAAGAGCTGCCAGAGCCTCCAGGAACACAATCTCTCTGCAGGCTTCAGCAAGGAAATGGCGAATGGAAGGAAAGCCTGAAAGAAAGCTTTCCATTCATTTGCAAGTGTCCAGGCCTTAATTCACAGAGAATAGAGGCCTAAAGTGCGAGATCACACAAGATCAGTAGCACAAGATATCACGTTACTGACCTTGCATGATCTTGTAGTACATTAGGCCTCTGTTCTCTGCTAATGCACTGAAAACCTGAGGGAACAAAGCAGGCAACGAAAGTGTGACAGAGAGGAGATCTTCTCAAGTGAGTCTCTACAATTAAAGTGCCTGTGAAGACCAGCCAGGAGGGGGGGAAATGTTGCAGAGCCTCTGTGGTCATTCGTAAGGGTGAAAAACTGCAGTGGTGGGGCAATATTCATAATTTCAGGACTTGTTCATAAACGTTAGGGGGTGCTAATCACATAATTTTGAACATTTGCCAAGGGAATGCTCATACCCTGAGGATTACATGTATATTAAATATATACTTGAAAAAACTGGTTTCCGTTTGTAAAATACATACAGTATTTCTCTGAAAGTTTTCAGCTGTTTTCAACTTTGAACAATCAAATCTTATAATAGTAAACAGATTTAATTACTTTATAATCTGAAGGAAGACAACCATACTATAAGGAATTTTATTTTCCCATGTCAAGCAGGAACAATTCCTTTTTTTTATAAGGCTTAAGAGGCTTAGGTAACTTAGTCACAGTCAACATTAATGCTATTCTAATTGTATTAATTCTTAATACATTGTTGCAGTTAAAACTGAAATATATACATTTAATTACCTGGATAATGAGGTGGAGGATCACAGAGAAGAACAGCACCTACACCTTCTCGTACTTTTACTGCATGTCTCTCTTCCGGAGGAAAAGGATATAAATCTATGCAAGATAAGATAGATAGATAGATAGATAGATAGATAGATAGATAGATAGATAGATAGATAGATAGATAGATAGATAGATAGATAGATAGATAGATAGATAGAGATAGAGATATAGACATCAGTCTTTGAAAGTTCTCATCCTTTTATTTCTATTCACTGAACTAAAGAAACAAACATAAAAAATGTTCTAAAAGTAAAGATTGCAACTATAGTTCTTGGCTTTTTCTTCAACTTCCAAGAATGAGATTAAAACATAGGTTGCAAAAACCTGAGGTGGGCCGTGTGCATTAATGTATAGGGAATTAAATTTGAAATATTTCAATTCATTTTAATTATAACAAAGTATCTGATTTAACTTAAGTAATTATGTTTTTAATATTAATAGTAGCCCTAAGGATTACACTTATCTTTGGAATCATTCACTAGAAACAAAATGATGGATTTATTCTATAGTGAAAATGATAACCTTTTAAATATAAATATTTTCTATTCATTTCTTTTCTGTTAAGTTTTAATACAGTGCATGAACATTGTTAATGTCTTCAAAATGAGTAATAATATGTAATCAAAACAGGAAATAAAAGGAAAAAGTCTATCAATTCAGTGATTGCTGAACAAGCAAATAATCATTTTTCATAAATGAATTTCTATTATGCTACTTAATATTACAAAACTACAGAACTATTACAGGCAGGGAACTGCAATGGGCCTAGAGAGAAAAAACAATCATAACAGTATATTTAAATTAGGTTCACCTCTTTTACCCATGTAACAGGGAGATTTGTGTGAATAAACATATCTATACATTAGCTCATTAATTTATGTTTGATAGGGCTTGGCATGCCATTGCAATAATAAAAGTATTTTACCGAGTAAAAATTTCTATTGTAAATTTACAATGATATTTTTCTGTTATTGATTTATCTAGCATCCATAGGCACGTAGAAAAGGATAATTAGCTTTTATTTTTATTAGGATAACAATAGCTTCCTTTATTTTGTTTGTTCTTGTTCTTTCCAAATTTCATTTAGATGTTGAATTTAGCTCTTTTAAATGCAAACTGGATAATATCACTAAGTATTGTATCTAATGTTTTATGAAGAGTGAATTTTTACAATGACTATGATAATCATCTATCACTATTGTTGTATATATACTGAGAGCTTATGCACCGGAGACAAATTCTTTGTGTCTAATCGCATTTGGCCAATAAAGAATTCTAATTCTAGTTCACTGCTTGGTAGCACTGAAGTGGAAATTAAGGCCTCATTTATCCAGCACTGATAATATGCTTTCCGCCTCTCCTTAAGCTGTAGAAAGGTATGTCACTAAAAAAAAAAAATCATGCACGTGCTTGTACACACAGACACTTTCTTTTTTGCTTTGTCTCAGTAACAAGGCCAGCAGTATTGCTACCTTCACTCAATTATGCAGAGAAATAGTCGGTAGCTGGGTGTCTTCACTGTTAAAAAAAGCCACTTTCCACAAATGCTGGGAATTACATAATTCAATAGTGCTGCAATAAACAAAGAATTTCCACACCTGTTACTCCAATAGGAGGAATACTATATAGAAACATTACAAAAATACTGGGGGGGGGGGACAACATCTAGAAATGAATAAAGTAGTAACTAGAAGCCAGCACAGGTTTGTTAAAAACAGATCATGCCAAGCCAATCTTATTTCATTCTTTGACAAAGTGACTACATTAGTAGACCAGGGAAATGCTGTGGACATAGTACTGCATATTTAGACTTTTGCAAGGCATTTGACAAAGTAGACCACCACCTACTTCATGACAAGCTAGAAAAAAGTGGGATAGATAGCATCACCATCAAATGGACTTGTAACTGGCTGACAAATGGAACTCAGCAAGTAGTGTTTAATGAGACTGCATCTACATGGAGGGAAGTAAGCAGTGAGCTATCACAAGGTTCTGTCTTAGGCCCCGTACTCTTCAACATCTTCATAAATTACTTAGATGAGAAAATAGAAGGGGAACTCATCAAATCTGCAGATGACAGGATAGCCAACACTTCAGGATTCAAAAAGATCTTGACAGACTTGAACAATGGGTCTAATCCAACAACATGAAATTTAATGTGGAGAAAAGCTAGGTTTTATACCTGGGCAGGAAAAACCAAAGATACAAGTACAGATTAGGTGCAACCTGGCTCCATACCAGTAACTCTTGGAGTCTTAGTGGATGATCACTTAAATATTAGTTGGCAGTGTATGATAGCAGCTAAAATAGTTAATACAATCCTTGGTTGAATAAACAGAGATATAGGATCAAAATCACATGAAATATTAGTACCACTTTATAAAGCCTTAGTAAGACCTCACTTAGAATACTGCATCCAGTTTTGGTCACCACATTACAAAAAGATGTTGAGACTTTAGAAAAAGTACAAGAGCAGCAACTAAGGCCTCGAAACTAAAACATATAGTATCAAGAATGGTTGCAGAATTGGGTATGTCTAGTTTAGAGAAAAGAAGGGCTAGGGGGGACATGATAGCAGCATTCCAGTATTTGAGAGGCTGCCACAAAGAGGAGGGGGGTCAATATTTTTTCCAAAACACCAGACAGCAGGACAAGAAACAAGGGATGGAAACTATTCATGGAGAGAAGCAACCTGGAATTAAGGAGAAACTTCCTAACAGTGAGGACAATTAACCAGTGGAATAGTTTGCCTTCAGAAGTGGTGGATGTTTCATCACTGGGGGGTGTTTAAGAAGAGACTGGATAGTCACTTGTCTGAAATGGTATAGGATCTCCTGCTTGAGACCTCCAAATTTGCTTCCAGCTATATTCTGATTCTAAACAAAGAAGGCAGATAAAAGTGCAAGTCCCTCTGCTAACTGTCCCTCTGTAAATGTAACAATTGCAGGGAGCAAAACCAACTGGTGGAGAATGACCATTGGCTTACCTGAAGTGTACTTTTCTGTGCACTGTGGGAGAGTCCAAGCAAGGGTTAAATTCTGTCCTTCTGCCCAATGGACTGGATTGAAATTTCTGACCATGCCTCCTGGTCTCCCGGTATCTTCAGTTTTTAAATGAAGCATGGTCCCGAAAGGTAAGTCAATGTCAATGTTCCATCCTTCCCAACAACATCCACAGATGAAAAATAAGAACAAATCCGATGGAAGTGAGATAATCTCGGGTGGGATTGGACTCTCTCACAGCGCACAGGAAAAGACCCTTCAGGTAAGCCAATGGTGATTTTCCTGTGCACTGCTTGGACAGTCCAAGCAAGGCACATACCCAAGCAAAAAAATGTCCAAGGGCAGGAACAACAAAGAGTAACAACCCAACCCTAAGGCGTCTCAGAAACAATGGCCTGCAACACTCACCTGCCAAAGGCAGCATCTATGGATGCAAATTTGTCCAATTTGTAGTGCCTGACAAATAATGATGTGGACACCGAAGTCGCCGCTTTGCAGATCTCCTTGACCCAGGCCAAGGAGGAAGGGAAGCGGATGTTGGTTGAAGATGATGTTTCGGGCACCAACTAGCAAAGGTGGTTCAGGTGGCATCATAGATCTGTCTGGTGGAGGCTCGTCTGGAAGCTTGGATGGTGTTGATCACCTTGGTAGAATAGTTGGCTCTCCTCAGGAGGTCCCTCTCAATTTCCATACAGTTAGCTGGAGCCACTGGGGCTCCGGATGCATAACCACTCCCTTGCTGAGAGAGATCAACTCCTGAGGAATCCTCCAGGGATGTGCGATGGATAGGGAAGTCAGATCAGCAAACCAAGTCCGCCGGGGCCAGTATGGAGCCACCACAAGAACCTCTGCTTGCTCCTTCAGAATCTTCCTGCTCAGTCTGGGAATGAGCGCCAGTGGTGGGAAGGCGTAAAGTAGCCCCGGGGGCCAGGAGCATCGGAGGGTGTCGACCCCTTCCACCCAGGGACAGTGGAACCTGGTGAAAAATTGGGGGGAGCTGACCATTCTCTGGAGTGGCAAACAGGTTGACCAGGGAATGACCGAACCTCTGAGATAATTGGTGAAAGAGGTGTGGATGGAGGTGCCACTCTGCGTTGTCTAGCCTGGTGTGGCTCAGCCAGTCTGCCTGGACGTTGTTCACCCCAGAGATATGCTCCGCCCGAATGGATTGTAGGTGACATTCCGCCCACCGGCCAATCGCCTCTGCCTCTGTCATGAGGCACTGGGACCTGGTACCCCCTTGGCGATTTATGTGAGCCTTCATTGCCACATTGTTGGTGAGGACAAGGACATGGTGATGCTGGGTGTTGTGCTGGAACTTCCGAAGCACTAGCCTGACTGCCCTCAGCTCCAACCAATTGATGTTGTGAGAGAGGTTGTGAGCTGACCATTGTCCTTGAGCCACTAGGGTGCACAAGTGAGCTCTCCAACCGAAGAGGCTGGCGTCAATTGTGATGGTCAGCCTGGGCGGTTCCTTGAGGTAAGTCCCTTTCAGAAGGGCTGGTGAAAGCCACCACTGGAGAGACCGAATGACTTTGGTGGGTAGATGTACCTTGATCGGGTCTTCGCTCTCTGCATTGGCAGGAGAAACCATTGCAGATCTCTCATATGGAGTCTCACCCAAGGAACAATCGAGAGACACGAGATCATCTTCCCCAGAAATTGTGACAGGGTGACAATGCGAGTGCTGGGGGAGAGGCGGACCTTTTGGACCAGTTCTCAGAGACTTTCGACGCGGTCTGGTGATAGGAAGACTTGGCAAGGTGAAGTGTCTATCATGGTCCCCAGGTGTAGAATCCTGTTGACTGGAGCCAAGTGGCTCTTTTCGACGTTCATGGTAAAGCCGTAGTTCTGCAATGTCTGCATGGTGGTGCATAGATCTCGCATTGCTTGTGCCGGCAACAACAACTGAATCAAAATGTCACCTAGGTAACACTGTAGGCAGATTGGTCGCAATCTTAGGTGAGCGGCGACCACAGACAGGATCTTCATAAACGTCCTTGGGGCTAATGACAGGCTGAAAGGGAGAGCCCTGTACTGAAAGTGGGACCCGGCATAGAAGAATCTTAGGTAGCGCCTGTGCTCGGGTCTGATGGGGACGTGAAGGTATGCCTCCTTCAAGTCTATTGATGTTAGGAAGTCCCCTTGACGAATGCAGCCCAAGATGGATTGGAGGGACTGCATTTTGAACAGTTTGTAGGCCGCATATTGGTTCAACTTCTTCAAATCTACTATCTGTCAGCCTCTGCTTTGCTGCTGCTTCAGCTGCCATTGAAACGGGGAGGGGGGGCATGGGATTTGGGAGGGGAATACTAATTGTGCTGGAGGAAGATTCTGGAGTTTCTGCTGCCTGTCTTACTGCGCATGCGGAGGAGGTTTCCCGCCAAGGCCAACGGCACTGACATTCCATCTTGGTGATGCCTTTCGAAGTTATCTCACACCTGACACTTGGGAGAATTATGATTGGACTGTAACTGGGATGCCAAGGGGTGGGGAATGGGTTATTGGTATATTGGTATATT